CCAAATTACTGGAAAAGTTATTGACGGAGCCGCACACATTCCACTAAAGGCTTAGTGGAATGTGCGAAATTTGAATTCAGATGTGAAAGCTTTTAAAAAAGTACATTCAGTTTAATTCATTTTGTCAACAAGTTGATGATTGAATGCTCTTAAAAATAACAGAGAAAATTATCCGAAGAAATGTTTTTTAGGAAAGAAAAAGAATCCCGGGTTAAGCGCTAATCGGCCTTTGAACAACTGCGCCCTGTAATCGCGCCAGTAAAACAAAGGTTAAAATGTTCTATTTACACGCCCGATCGCACTTTGGCCACTGTCTCCTCCGATTGCAAGCACTTGACACCGAACCATACGATATCTTTTCAAAATCTTCTTATAATGTTACACAGTTTAAATAGAGGTTTCGTTGTACACAACCCATACGTTCAAAATATGTCATAATCGCATTTATCTATCGCAAGAACCATCCAATCTTCCACCTCAACAGTTACCCGCCTGTATGCCTAACAAACATATCGAACGCACTCTCCTAAGCTCCGATTACTCCTAGCCAGTATGGAACAGTCATGGGGAAGCATTTGGCCTTTCTGGAGGGAGAGAAAATTTTAAGTTATGGCTTTTCGGACGGATATTTTACAGGAAGCAATCGTTGGATGTCTCTGCATGTTCTCTTTCCTCGTGATACTGCGTTCCTTTTGATTTTATTGGCATGGCAAACTGTCGTTAAGCGCTTTTTGGATAGAGACACTTATTCTTCAGAGGTGTCCTTTCATTCAATGAATGACACCCATTATTTGTTGTACTTCAATAAAATACGGTTTCCAGAGGCATATTTAGCAGATTTAACTGAGTAGGTTGCTTTTATTCGATTACGAAACATAACTTTGAAGCGCATTGTTTAATTTGACAGAATGCAACAGGTATCTTTGCATCTTTGCACGGGCCATGCCGTGAACAACGCCAATATAGAGTGCTGAAAGCAGTTTCTTAGACAGTTTAAATCTTTGTAATGAAAGGAATTATAGGCTGAATAAAACCTAAGTCACGCTTTGAGAGATTTTCGTCCCCAGTGACCCGCAGCTTTTTTAGCGAGCAAGAAACCTCTTCTTTTTCATAACTGCGTGGCCAAAAGAAACGAAAAGTGTTGGGGACCAGTATCCTTTAAAAAGAGAAATCGGCCATGTGGGCCCAATATTGTGATTTTCCCAATAAAATTCCAAAGTTAATCGGTTCCGCAAGCCAAAATTCACAAGAGTGATATAACAGTAGTTTTACGCCACACCCATTACGAACCGCAAGGTCGATTTTCGTGCACGCACCAGGGATCCTTAATTTCCATGGAGATACCCACAAACTGGACTCGAGTAACTAGAAGGCGTTAGTCTTGACACATTACGAACCGCAAGGTCGATTTTCGTGCACGCACCAGGGATCCTTAATTTCCATGGAGATACCCACAAACTGGACTCAAGTAACTAGAAGGCGTTAGTCTTGACACATTTGCTTGCGCACCTCGGGTGTTCACATTAATCACTTTCTGTCAGTTCATCTATCAATAAACTCATTTTAGGACAGGACACAAATTTGCGTCAAATACCAGAGCTTGTCTTCTGCGCGCCGAATTTATACCATCGGAGCGAGATATTTTAACTCAGCTATGGTTCTCGTCAAAATCACTTAACGAAAATACTTAAATTCATGGTTGGTGTTAAAAAAAGGTCTTGGTGCAAGTTTCGGAAAAAAAAGAAATATTTTTTTCGTTTCTTAAGCGAAAGGCAAAATCTAGTGCTTTATGAAGGTCGAATTCGAACCCTCCAAAGTAATAATTATTCGGTACGTTACCTGGTAAGTTACATATTGTCGCCGAAATGGTTTCAAATTGAAAGTTCAACGTGAAGAGTTCTGGATGTTATTTCGCATTATGTCCGAAGGACAGAAACTGTGTTCGCCGATATAAGGTAAGAGAGACCTTTATTATTTAAAAGGTACAGGACGGTGAAGCCGGTTTGACGACACTGAGGAAAACAGAGGAAAATATTTACTTGCCTTTGGTATTGTGTATATCCTCGATCACTATAGAATAACGCACAAATTTTATAATTCAAAGGGCATTTACAACACGCGCCAAAAGAGCCGTGATCCCGCCAAAATGCTCGAACCATTTAACAGAGTGTAAAAAGGGGGCTGGTAGGCAACACACGACTTTTACCTCGTGCCAAAATGCTGCTTGTTCCAAAAATTGTTTTCTCTGGTGGGTATATTATATTCTGGGTTCTACTCTTTGAATGAGTAAATGTGAATTTTGCCGCTTGTTTCATACTGAGAGGTCATGACACGCATATTCATTTCCTGCGGTTATTGTTTCTGGTCGGCATGATTTGTCCTCTGATGCAAGAGCACTTTCTTCGACCTCTTTTGAAACGTAAATCTCTTCCTTTGCGGCTAAATAAGAGTTTTAGGTTGTTTAGTCTTCTCCAAAGTGCCTCCTGGATCTGAATAGCTAAAGACCATATTCTTTTGTCCGTGAATGTGATGGTTTCCTTCAATTTATGTCACGCTGGGCCCAGCTCGTTTAGTATTTTCTGCACGATGTTAGATTTTCACCGAAAGTGATTTACAGATTCAAATTTCGAGGAATGGATTATAGGAACGCATTTTGTGAAGAGAGATTTTTCAAGTAAAAAGAACTCGGATCCTTAAATCGATCGTGTTTTAGCTAGCCAATTGTAATTTTCATATCCGGTGTTAGTTCGGATAATTCAGTAGGTCATTCTCTCCTCTCCCTCTTAGCTTACAGGCGGCGCGCCCAAGTTTAAGAGGTGAAGAGAGATTTTTTTCAAGGGTAAAAAACTCGTAGCTTGAATCGATCATGTTTTACTATCTAGCCAATTGCAGTTTTTATGAGCCATGTTAGTTTGGATAATTCAGTAAATTTTTCTCTCCTCTCCCTCTTAGCTTACAGGCGGCACGCCCAAGTTTAAGAGGTGACAAGAGATTTTTTTCAAGGGCAAAAAGCTCGTAGCTTGAATAGACCATGTTTTACTAGCTAGCCAATTGCAGTTTTCTTACGCTGTGTTAGTTTGCTTACTCTCTCCTGTCCCTCTTGGCTTCCAGACGGCACGCCCAAGTTTAAGAGGTGAAGAGAGATTTATTTAAATTGAAACACTCGTAGCTTTAGTCGATCATGTTTTATTAGCTAGCCTATTGCAGTTTTTATACGCTGTGTTAGTTTGGATAATTCAGTAGGTCATTCTCTCCTCTCCCTCTTAGCTTACAGGCGGCGCGCCCAAGTTTAAGAGGTGAAGAGAGATTTTTTTCAAGAGTAAAAAACTCGTAGCTTGAATCGATCATGTTTTACTACCTAGCCAATTGCAGTTTTCATGCGCTATGTTAGTTTGGATAATTCAGTGGATTATTCTCTCCTCTCCTTCTTAGCTTACAGGCGGCGCGCCCAAGTTTAAGAGGTGAAGAGAGATTCTTTAAGATAAAAAAAACTCGTAGATTGAATCGTCATGTTTTAGCTAGCTAGCCAATTGCAGTTTTTATGCGTTGTTAGTTTGGATAATTCAGTAATTTTTTCTCTCCTCTCCCTCTTAGCTTACAGGCCGCGCGCCCAAGTTTAAGAGGTGACGAGAGATTTTTTTTCAACGGTAAAAAACTCGTAGCCTGAATAGACCATGTTTTACTAGCTAGCCAATTACAGTTTTCATACGCTGTGTTAGTTTGGTTACTCTTTCCTCTCCCCCTTGGCTTCCAGGCGGCGCGCCCAAGTTTAAGAGGTGGAGAGAGATTTTTTTAGATTGAAACATTCGTAGTTTGAGTCGATCATGTTTTACTACCTAGCCAATTGCAGTTTTTATACGCTGTGTTAGTTTGGTAAATCAGTAGATTATTCTCTCCTCTCCCTTTCGGCTTACAGGCGGCGCGCCCAAGTTTAAGAGGTGAAGGGAGATTTTCTTAAAGTGAATAGTACATAGCTAAAATCGATCGTGTTTTAGCTAGTAAATGCAGCTTTTTTTACATTGGTTTAGTTTGTATAATTCGGTAGATTTTTCTCCCCTCTTCCTAATGGCTTACAGGCAGCGCGCCCATTCTTAAGAAGCTGTGATCAAGTATAAAGTAAGTCACAGCTTGAATCGATCGTGTTTTAGCTAGTCGTTACAGAGTTGTTGTTTTTGTTCATATTTTGTTTTTGTTAGTATATATAATTCAGTAGATTTTTATTTTCTCTCCCTCTTAAGTCTTTAGCTCTTATGCGATGCGCCCAATCTTACGACGAGTGGTGTTGGTTTCAAAAGCGAAATTTAGTCATTGTGATTTTTTTTCTGATCTACGGCTCTCAGTCTGGATAATATTCAGCGTGATGCCTGTGTTTGATGTACACCGGAAACAGGAAAAAAGCTAGTTTTGTCCGCGGGCGGCAATACTTTAATTTCGACAGTTTAAGGTAAAATATTAAGATAATGTCTAAATCATTTGTGACCTGTGATAGTTTTTTTTTGCGTAAATATCTCTCTTCGGTCAAATGTGACAATTAGGCCAGATTTATACTAGGGTTGTAAAAATTTCCTCCGTCTATGTTGAAACCGAACAAACCTCGCGGGTATCCGCTTTGGCGGGTGATCTCCCTGAGAGATAATTGAGTTGTTGTTTTCACTGTTTATTCATCCAGTTCTCAGTTGTAATTATTTTTCGGTAATATTGTTCTTATTTATTGTTTATTGAGTGGGTCGGCTAAAATTAAAGACGAAGAGTGAAGCTCCAATGCAGAATTTTTGAAGTCTATTTGATATTATGCTTTCGGCAGTGCACGTGAATAGCAACTAGGCTGAGTGTCCACTAAAGATAAACTGGATTAAGTGTCGAAGATGAAAGATTGCTCAATAAAACGAACATTGTTGACAGCTTTAAGATAGGCTCAGGGTCTCTTGATGTAATATAACCCTTGGTTCAAAACAATAGACTTGGCGCCTCGCCCTTCAGAAATATGCGAAGATTGCGACGCTGAACGTCGCAATCCCCCGAAAATCGAGCCTGCGGCTTGTAATGTGCATCATTTTATCTTTTGGTTTCACAAGTTGCTGCTTTCAGATCAATCGCAGGGACAAGTCAGGAAAACCCCACAACAAATTCATCAGAGAAGATAAGAAATGCATCTTAAAAGCCTTCTTTTCGTACTTGGTAAGACAAATTGTTTTTGCCACTTACTTTTTTACTCTGGGCGCCCGGCTCGAGTGCGAGCTTCATGCTCAAACGCGCTGAAATGAAAGTGTGAAGCAGGAGTGAGAAGGATAACTTTCTATGAAGCAAGGAAACCGTGCGCATTGCATTCACTTTTGAAGTATGGACGCCTTTCGCTTTCCCTGACTATTCGAGCTAATGCATTGCAGATTACCTGTTTATAGCATACTGTGTTCGGTAGCTCATTGCTCGCTGGTGAGCATTGCGTGGTCCAATATTCCTACATGCTAGCTTGCCAGCGAAAACGTTTTCCATCTAGCAACTCAATGCCAGTAAAAAAGCATGCAAATCAGCTTTTTTTTCTCAGTGTTTTAACGCTATAGTACCACAGACCGGGGATTTTTTGAAGAAACAAGCCAGTGTGGAGTATTCTTTACGTATTGCACGACATGGCCGAAAGTTGTTGTAAGTTAATGCATGATAATCACGGTAAATTTCGCAGAACAGCATTAACATTTTGTCAAGATACTTTTACTCCTTTTGGTTCAGTTGGTTGTTACTGATCATCAAAAAAAAAAATACGTATTCGTTAATTTCAGAAGTGTGAATTTCAACTCTTAAATCGATCACACCTAAAACGGATGCGAATGCACTAGTGTAGATCGAAAGATCATAGGCCTTCTCAAATTGTCAAATTGTATTTACCACTTGCTTTTTTTTGCTATGGTCGCCCGCTTGAGTGCGAGCTTCGTGCTCAAACACATTGAAATGAAGGTGTGAATGATAATAGTAAGCCGTGCGCATTGCATTCACTTATGAAGTATGAAACCTTTCGCTTTCCCTGACTATTCGAGCTATTTTATTACAGATTGCCTGTTTATAGTACGCTGTGTACAGAAGCTCATTGCTCGCTTGTGAGCATCGCGTGGCCCAATATTCTTACATACTTGCCAGCGTGCAAGTGTAGAGTATTCTTTACGTATTGCACGACATGGCCAACATTGCACGACATGACATGGTCCAGAGGCATATTTAGTGGATTCAACTGATTGAACTCAGCAGGGTGCTTCGCTTTTACGAGGTATTGGCAGGGCTATTGGCAGCCTGTAACGGGTATCTTTGCACATCTTTGCACGGCTGTGCACAACGCCATCTGTAAAGAGTACTGGAAGCCGTCTCTTAGACAATTTAAATCTTTGTAATGGAAAGAATTATTAGCTGAATAGAGCCTCGACGGTCACGCTCTGAGAAATTGTCGTCCCCAGAGCCCCTCGACTTTTATATAACGAGCGCGCGATGAAAACCTCTTGTTTTCCATAACCACGCTGCCTAATGAAACGAAAAGTTCGGGGAAAGAGCGTGGTTTAAAAATAGAAATCGTCCCAATATTGTAATTCGCCTAATCAAATTTCAAACTGGATTGTTCTGCATGCCAAATTCAGAGGACAGATATATAAGTTTTACGCCACATCTTGCCACTTGGTGCCCGATTTGGGGAGTGGGGGATTGGGCCTTGCAATTTGTGAGCATCACAACATCACAATTTGCGTACTGAACTTAAAGACAAGAGAGAAGGTGTGAGTGTACCATAATCAATCTTCCTAACGTTGGCAATGTCACAATGCCACATAGGAACATTCAAAGGATATCGCTCAGTATGAAATAATGGTTAATAATCTCTTCGGCTCCGGGAAGTTTTGGTAATCATTGATTCATTTATTTGCTGTTCACCGATTTCAATAGTGGTAAGGAACTTAAAGTTGTTGTCTTGCGAGGGTGATTTATTTGGAAAGCCGTGTTATTTTGCTTTGATTTCGCGTTATCAGGTTAAAACAAAAGAATTATTTAAGAGTCTTTTTTCATTGTTTATTTGATGATACATCACAGGATATCACCGACGTATTTCCGGTCGTCGCTTCTTCGGCTGAATTATTTGTGCGTGGCTTAGTGTGATAGTTTGTTTAGACAAAAGAGTTAATGAAAACAGTTTGCTGTTTTATTGTTTGGTGCTTCAGATACAATCGTCCTCTTGATAATGACTAGCAAGAAGCGGGTTCAGAAATCGTTCTCAGTCGATGACCTCAGACAAGAGGGTCAACGAGAGAAATACAGGATTTTCGATCCTTCGAACGAGCATAAAATGGTCAAGAAACACTCTTTTTGTGACTGATACCGAGAACACATCTCAATCGGCAACTGACGAGATCCACAAGATTAGGATCGAAACCGCGGTCTTGCCTGACCATTCACGGAAAATGTCGGAAAACATTATAACGTCAGATGGGCTACTAAATGCCCCTGGCACAAGCAATGCCTTTGATGGAAGTCTCATACGACATCGCTAAAGAGGATGATCTACTCGGCAAGTCCGATGACGATGAACAAATCCCTCCATATCAAGTGCCTAGAAAACCTAAACAGCCTAAACAGCAACGTCAAAGCCGCGACAGGCGCCCTCAAAGGAGTACCAGCGAACCAAGGACAGAACAGTACCGAAAACGTCGTCGCCACAGCCCATCCACAGAGAACCGTAAACGGAGCCATAGCCTATCCGCGGAGGACAAAATTAGCCAAGCCGAAGGTGCGATCACAGCTTTAAAAAGGCACACGGACAGGGGAACTTGCCCAGAAAACCTACAATATAGGGCGAGGGCCAAAATATCCCTCAGCGGACGACGACTTCAAGAGAGAGATAAAACAAATCCGTAAGAACGCGGAGCAAGAAACGCTCAATGCGATTATACGAGAAATCGGCCGTTTTAAGGCCGAAACCGTGAAAGGAAAGCGAGCCGCACCGGCTATAGCACTGAACGCTAAGAACTGTAGTATGATTGAACCAGCGCGCGCAGCGCAAGCTGAAAACAACGTAACGATCGAAACAGTAAAAAACTTTGGCACAAATCGCCCAGTTCGGCAATATGATGGAAAAACTAGGAGCAATTGAAAATAAAGAAGTTCAAAAGTACACATGTGTATTCTCTGACTCCCACTACAAACATGGGGCCAAAAAACAAATTTTAAAAGCCAAACGGCTAGCAACTAATAAGCGCAAAGAGCGCAGAAAGGTCAGACGCCAGAAAAACTATCACAATAGAGGCGAACAAAAAAACACATAAAAAAAACTCTCAAACAAAGAACTTACAAATGACCAGATTAATTTACTGGCAAAAGGGCTTAAATTCATTCCAACACCCGTAACAAAACAAACACAAATCAGGCAACAACTCTTGCGTGACTTTGATCAGTTTGCAAGAAGAATGCGTCTAATGTACATATTTCGAGGGGAAAACAATGAACCCCATCCTTACCATGTCAAATCTGAATGGGAACTACCAATACAACGATCAGTAGCCCTTGAAGTATCAGGGTGTGATGGCCCAACGGAGAAATTATCATCATTTGTCGACAAACTCCTTCAGCCAATAGCACAACAACAAAAGTCGTATCTTAAAGATACTACCGACTTCGTTAATTTCATAGAAAATACGAAAGTGCCATCGGAGGTCATACTTGTTTCAATGGACGTTACGAGCTTGTATACAAATATACCGCAAGAGGAGGGAATAGACACGGTATGCAGAGCATACGAAATATTCTACTAAAACGAGCGCTCAGGCTAATTTTTCAAGAAAATTCTTTCCAGTTTAATGGAAAAAACTGCCTTCAAACACATGGTACGGCCATGGGCACGAAAATGGCAGTCGCCTTTTCTAATATATTCATGAACAAGGTAGAGACGGAAATCCTTAGCCAAAGCCTTTTTAAACCGCTCGTTTGGAAACGTTACATAGACGACATCTTCTCGCTCTGGACTACAAACAGAGACAGAATAGAACATTTCATTGAACAAGCAAACAATCATCAACCTACGATCAAATTTACGGCTGAAATTTCCGATAAGGAAACAGCACTCCTCGACACCTACATCTACAAAGGGGAAAGATTCAAAAGAGAAGCAACCCTTGATGTGCGTATTCATTTCAAACCAACTGAGACATTTCAGTATATACCCATTTTGGTTCCTGTCACCCGCAAGGAGTTAAAAAAAAGACTTCATTAAAGGGGGAAGCCCTCCGACTCCTCAGAACAAACTCTTCCAAAATAATATTCGAAGAGAAAATTACAAATTTCAAAGCGCATCTGCTACAGAGGGGTTACCCAGAGGATCTCATTAACACAACCCTCTCAGAGGTGAACTTCAAAGACAGGAAACTAGCCCTCCAACAGAAACCAAAGACAAACCAACGAATCTTGCCTTTTGTCACACAATACCAACCATCAGTGCCTAACCTAAAGCAAATTCTCATGAAAAACTGGCATTTAATAGAACAACAACCATTACTGAGCGAAATCTACAAACTAGAACCGGCCCTCGTATCTTATAAAAGAGGGCGGTCACTCAAAGACATACTCGTGAGAGCCAAACTATAAAAAGGCTATTTTAAACACGCACTTGGGAGTCGTGTAGGCCTGTCAACCCCATATTACATCTTAATGAGAATCGTCAAATGCAAACAAGAAAGAACAAAAACAAACAAACAAACAAAACGGTGAGCTTATGCACCATAATTGCACGCGTAATAAGAAAATGTCTTTTCCCTGATTTTTGCACAGAGCACAATCTCGTAGTGAAACCCTTGTCACAATATATAAAGGAATCGTTTTGCTACATAACTCATCCTGTATTGACGTAACAGATTTCGGAAATGTAAAACATCTTATGCAAATATTTTGAAAAAAGAAACTGCTTTGTTTAGTTTCTGTTCAGTTGAATTGCGCACTCAGAAGAGTGCAATGTTAGTGAATGTAATGTTTTTCCCGTGAGATAAAAGCGCTACGGTAAAGGTGAGTTCCCTTTGTGATACCTTGTGATGCCTTGTGATACCTTGTGATGCCTTGTGATACTTTGTGATACCTTGTGATACTTTGTGATACTTTGTGATACCTTGTGATACTTTGTGCTACCTTGTGATACTTTGTGATACCTTGTGATGCCTTGTGATACCTTGTGATACTTTGTGATACCTTGTGATACTTTGTGCTACCTTGTGATACTTTGTGATACCTTTTGATACTCTGTGATACCTTGTGATACCTTGTGATACTCTGTGATACTTTGTGATACCTTGTGATACTCTGTGATACCTTGTGATACCTTTTGATACTCCGTGATACCTTGTGATGCTTTGTGATACTTTGTGATACTTTGTGATACCTTGTGATACTTTGTGATGCTTTGTGATGCTTTGTGATACTTTGTGATACCTTGTGATACTTTGTGCTACCTTGTGATACTTTGTGATACCTTGTGATACTCTGTGATACCTTGTGATACCTTGTGATACTCTGTGATACTTTGTGATACCTTGTGATACTCTGTGATACCTTGTGATACCTTTTGATACTCCGTGATACCTTGTGATGCTTTGTGATACTTTGTGATACTTTGTGATACCTTGTGATACTTTGTGATGCTTTGTGATGCTTTGTGATACTTTGTGATACCTTGTGATACTTTGTGCTACCTTGTGATACTTTGTGATACCTTTTGATACTCTGTGATACCTTGTGATACCTTGTGATACTCTGTGATACTTTGTGATACCTTGTGATACTCTGTGATACCTTGTGATACCTTTTGATACTCCGTGATACCTTGTGATGCTTTGTGATACTTTGTGATACTTTGTGATACCTTGTGATACTTTGTGATGCTTTGTGATGCTTTGTGATACTTTGTGATACCTTGTGATACTTTGTGCTACCTTGTGATACTTTGTGATACCTTGTGATACTCTGTGATACCTTGTGATACCTTGTGATACTTTGTGATACCTTGTGATACTCTGTGATACCTTGTGATACCTTTTGATACTCCGTGATACCTTGTGATGCTTTGTGATACTTTGTGATACTTTGTGATACCTTGTGATACTTTGTGATGCTTTGTGATGCTTTGTGATACTTTGTGATACCTTGTGATACTTTGTGCTACCTTGTGATACTTTGTGATACCTTGTGATACTCTGTGATACCTTGTGATACCTTGTGATACTCTGTGATACTTTGTGATACCTTTTGATACTCCGTGATACCTTGTGATACTTTGTGATACTCTGTGATACCTTGTGATACCTTGTGATACTTTGTGATACTTTGTGATACCTTGTGATGCCTTGTGACGCTGCGTGTTTTAAAGCCTTGTAGTGATACTAGAATTCGTGAACCAAATTTGTGTCACCTCACATGATAAGTGAATGGTAGAACAGACCGGCATGCTATTGGGGTGACGTTACTAAAAATTCAAGGTAATAAGGTAATAAGGTACCTTGTGATACCTTGTGATACTTTGTGATGCTTTGTGATGCTTTGTGATACTTTGTGATGCCTTGTGATACTTTGTGATGCCTTGTGATACTTTGTGATGCCTTGTGATACTTTGTGATACCTTGTGATGCCTTGTGACGCTGCGTGTTTTAAAGCCTTGTAGTGATACTAGAATTCGTGAACCAAATTTGTGTCACCTCACATGATAAGTGAATGGTAGAACAGACCGGCATGCTATTGGGGTGACGTTACTAAAAATTCAAGGTAATAAGGTATAGTGATTGTGTGAGCATGTGATGCGATCACAAACTTTGTGTCCTTAATCAGTTGTCCCCAAATCGTGCACTGTATACATCTTGCATCATTTTATCTTGACTGGTTGCACAAGTTGCTCTCAAACCCGGGAGGGGGGGCGCGGGTACTCCCTTATATAGGCCATATAGGTATCTACCGCCCCATCAGGTAGGGTTTTTGCGCCGTTTTTTTTTTTTTTCGATGAGTTCTGCAGCGAGCTACAAGGCTGAATGTTCAAACAGTTGAACTTTCAAGTGTGTGGTGCTGTTGAGGAACGGTGCTGGATTTACAACCTTGAAAGGTAACTCGAAGCAAAGTTGGCATTTTACAAAGAAACATGGAGATAGCGCCATTTTGTATCGAACGGTCAGTGAAGACCGTCAATGGTTTTAGCCTTCTTCTTCATAGTTCTTACGCTGTTTGTTCTTCTTCCTTGGTCTCAAAACAAAGCTTGTGTGACATTGGATCGATATTTTATGCTGGCTTTGAATAAATGCGGTCATTAATTTTATAGGAAACCATTTTGAAACACATCATGTTTTGTCAAGTTTTTATTTTTTTGAAAAATCCTCAAAAACAGGAATTTGGGTCGGTTTTTTAGTACCGAATGCGTGGTACCTTCAAGGAAAATATATCCACAAACAGTCTGGGTCAATTTTGACTTCATACCATCGAGATCGATGCCAATAAATAAAATTCTTGTTGGAAGTATTTTTATCGGCTTCCACCTCCCCAAACAATTTGCCAGTTAAAGGGTTAGTGATACATGCTTTAATTATAGTTACCAAGTTAATAATTTATGGTGTTTATCACCTAACAACAAACATCCCCAGGGGGGTACTCCTTTACATTTGCCTTATTGATCTAAAATAAGTGCTAGAGTAAGATTTGGAAAGTCGAACAATACACCCCACTAAGAATAGACCTTGAGTTTTCACGGTTTTCGACGCCATCTTAATGAGTAGGCAAACGTGTGAGAAATCACAGTATTTGTATGAGAATCTAACGTCGAATAATTTTCGTAAAACTTCTGTTCTGAAAGAAATATTAATTGTAAACTAAAACTACAAAGCAAAGGATTGTCTTAAAGAGTTTTGGGGGCATACCTGTGCTTAAATTTCTCCAGAGGCTTGCTTTAGGTTTTCCATAAAACTGTCTGTAATTTTTCCCGGGACTTTCTTACAGACAAATGTACAGACATTTTAAAGTGCTAGGGCTAGGTTTTCTGGCGCATGTAACGCCCTCAATTTTTTTCAGTAGAATCCTTAAGCGCGAAGCTTTAGTTTACAATTCATATTTTTTTTTAGAACAGCCGTTTTACGGAAATTATTCGACATCAGATTCTCATACAAACACTGCCATTTCTCACGCGTTTGCCTACTCGTCAAGATGGCGTCGAAAACCGTGACAGGGTCTATTCCAAAGAATACGCCCCCGGATTCCTCAGATAATAATTGATAGCCATCATTTTGTGAGCCAAAAATCCTGGTGGGTTCTTCCTCACTTTTGTCTTAGGTATTGGTCATTTCAGACCCTTGAGTACGGATTTAGAAGGTCAGACGGCACATCCCCACCACGAAGTGCTAAGAATACCCCCCCCCCACGCCCCGCCCCAGGAGAATAAATCGAAGGTATTTAATGGACTGCGGGGCGCGCGCAAATCTACAAGGTCAATAATGTCAAGTACAAGAAAACCAATGTAAACATGACAGCTAAACCCACGAGGCTCTACCTTAAACCGAAGCAGGAACTCTGATATAGGTCACAATCAAGGTCAGCGATGGTGCCAAAACGCGCCTACTTCAAGGACTGGCACTCAATTTTAAGAAATGACGGACGTTCATGTTAAAAACTATTTTAAAAGGTGATAGAATTTGAAAACCTGTCGATGCAAATATGGTTGTTAACCTTGATCTACAAACTGATCATGACAAAACACTAGGCTCGAGTGAAACGTCAAGCACAATGAAATAAACTAAAAATAACCTACAAAATACTTCACAACATTATGCATGATAATCACGATAAATTTAAACTAAACTGCATTAGTCAAGATACATACTTTTGGTTTTGGTTGTTACTGATCATCGAAAAGAAAAAAATGTAGTATTCGTCAGTTTCAGAGGTGTGAATTTCAACTTGTAAATCGGTCACACCTTGAACAGATGCCAATTTACTGTTGCAGAAAGATGGAAGTCGGGAGGGCAAAAACTACCGGAATGCGGATGTTTCATTGAATGCTTGACATGTTGATTGATTCATAGATGGGTTACTTAATTAAACAGCTGATTGATTGATTGATTGATTGATTGATTGGTCGTGGCGGATATTGTAGTAATAGTAAAAACTATCTTCCTTCTTTCATTCAGTTATCCTTTCTGGAAGTGGAGCAGCTCTTCCCGACCTAGGTACATGTTCTTTTATGGAATATTTCTGTGATGCCAGGAAATGCCAAACGCACTTTTTTAAAGGACTCCAGAAAGACCCTAATGGAGATTGCAGGTACAGTAAAGTTTATAACAGTTAGAACCTTGAAATATGCTGTTTTCAGTAAGTCTTTTCTCTCAAAACACGCATAACTCATCCCAGTTTAAAGTAAGTCACCATACCCAATTAAGAGTAAAAGGAATGCTGGCCTTCAATTCTAGAAATAAATAACTTTTTCTGTATCAATTTTAACGCAAATTTTTACCTTCTACATTCCGACAGCGCCAAGTTTAGCGAACTGACCAGATGCGTGATTAAGACGGTTGATATTTGTGCTGGAGATGTACTGCCCCAAAGCCAGATCGAGAGCATTGTTCACAAAAAATTCCAAGAAACTACCTTTTGTTTAAAAGGAGGATCGAATCCGGTAACCTCGGTGGGCTCGCGATGCAGGAGTTCGTACAGCACTGATGCAAACAACTGTTTGAGAACCTTCCATCAAACATTCGCTGCGGACAAGTCGGATCCTGAGCTGTGCTCGTAAGTTGAGCAAGAACTTAGTAACAATGGCGTGCCCTTTAGTTTTAACTGAACTTAAACGTACCGCATGACGAATAAGGCAAGGTTCAATTTGACCTGTTCCATCCCCCCCGGGCAATCCCCCGTAACAAGCCCATCTCTTCGGGCCCGGGGTTGGGAAATTGTTTGAGGCGGTCCTGTCCCAAAAGTAGGGGGTGGGGCAAATCAAAAATATCTTCCCTTTGATTTTGCCAAGCTCGCGCGGTTCACGATGGCTGCGGACCTCAAGACTACGTATTTTTAAAGAAAGACGCAGGAACTTCTCAGAGTCTGTATTTAAAGGTCTGTATTTGAAACGAATGTGCGTGTGATACGTACTCGAATGGATTTTAATTTTTGGAAAAGATGGACAGAAAGTATTTCTTCAGCCTAGCTTTAATGAAAAGAAAACTTATATGAAAACGGATACAAGGCGTTTGATATAAAGATAAACAGAGATTCAGTCCAGTGATCTTATGAAGTGTTCTATCAAGAGAGTCTCAATGACGTTAACCGATAGGCGTAAAACGGCCAAAAATTTAGTCGATAGCCGTAAAAATTGAAAAATTTTAACCGTTAACCGTAAATAGGGTCAACAAGAGTTAACCGTAAAAGAAATTGTTCCCTATGATTTGTTAATTTTAAGGAAGGTGCTAAACTCACTAATGGTTGCGTTTTTTTTTTATTTCCCGGCTACTTTGACTCCGTATGCACGTTAGGCCAAGCGCCTTTTAGTTTCTGACAAGCTAGACCCATGCTCCATTTCCGCCGCTCTCTCGGGGAACTAATTTTTTCCCTAGCGAAAATCTGGCTTCTTGCTGGGAATTAATATTTGCTATTTTCAGAGGGTCATGCCCTCGAAATACCAGTGAAACAACACGGAGAGATGTCACTGTTTGTAAAACACGTTGACGATAAACAACAATTCCCTGTTTTTCTCTGACGCTACGGTAGACATTGCCATGTCTAGTCCCTGTACATAGTCTTCCCACGCAATCTCCGTCCAGGCATTTCGGTGGCGTATCTGAGAAAAAAAATTCGCTCGGACCACGTGACCCGAAACGCATTAGCCGCGCGGAATAATGAAGCCTACGGACAAGGCCGCGGCAGACAGTCGTTCTTTACAGTCCTTTGCTATCATTAAAAACACTGGAAACGGGAATTTTGTAATTGGTCGTTTTCACATTAGAGCTAGAAATGGATTATTCGTCTGAGACTAACAACAACAACAATATACACTTAATGTCAGATCCCGAGGGAAACAGTTAGTTTTGTTTTCCCGAGAGTCCTGAAACATCAGGACTCGAGGGAAAACAAAACTAACTGGTTTCCCGAGGTTTTTTGGTTTTTGTTGCAAAAGACTTCGGTTTTTCGGTTTTGGTGGTCATTGCGGTTTGCGGATTTTTCGTTTTTTAGCGTCTGGTTTTCGGTTTTCGTGAAAAATACTAGCGGTTTTTCGGTTTTGGTACCCGATGTGGTTTTTCATATAATTTTCTCTTTGGTGCAAGGTCGCGATATGGAAGGGCAGTGAGGTTCAATAATCGACTGCTGTTTTGCGTATCTGTTTATTACCACATTAAACCTTAGAACAAGTTCCTGCTGCCATGTTTTGGCCGAATTTTTTTGCGATTTTGCGGTTTTGGATGATTTTTTCCTTCGGTTTTGCGGTTTCTAATATACCCCAATGCCCCCCTCCTTAATTTACAATATAATATATTAATACAAAAAAAGGTCACATTTACTCAGAATAACTAAAAAGCTAATCGAGCTGAGTAAAGCTAAATAATGTTCAGGAATAAGAGGTAGGTTGGCACTAAAGCTAGAACAACAAGGAATTAGTAAATAGATAAAGGGAAAAAAAGGAAAAAGGAAAAAAAAAGACTCACGAACAGTAAGACTGTAAGATGTTTGACATGACTTTGTTTTTAAAGGATTTAAAGGGGGAGGTGTTTAATGCTTTCATCAAGGTTATTCCAAACTTTTACAGCCGCAAAGCGAAAGTTGAAGTTACCTCATAAGTCTTCAGCTTTGCGTCCAAGATGGATGACAAGATGGCCGTCACTTTGAATTCTAAGATTTCATCCAAAATGGATCTCAACATCGCCTCCATTTTAGTTTTTTCTTGCTCCATCTTAGCAGTTTACCATTCTGGTACAGTAGGTTAATAAGAGACAACGAAAAAGTACGAAAAAAGTTAACTATAAAAGTAAAATTAACAGAGCTGAGAAAAGCAGGCCATGCTCGCATGACAACCGCTGACCAATCTCACAACCGCTGACCAAAACACTAGCCTGTGTACAGTCGCCCCCTCCCCGACAGACACCCCTTGTCCTATTTTTTCCGAGGGGAGGGGGCGGCTGTGCACAGGCTAGACACATTGGATTATGCAAAGCTGATCGTACTACGTGAAAATTAACTTTGCAAGACAAAAACACGACACCGAAAGAACCCAAAACAGAGCGGGGTGGTAGCCGTAAACATCTGTTTGAATGTCAATTTTGTACACAGGCTATCTGAAACGGATGATCCATCTTCAAACTGTCCGACAAAATTGACGAATAAAGTCAGGCGGATTGTTCATTCAAAATAAAAACCATATGTTCAATTTTCAAATTAAGACGTGGGACCTATCTGACGCGAATTATCAAACGGATAACCCGTCTCACACGAATAGTCCGTCTCTAGTGTGAAAACGGCTATTTATGTTCTAAATGAATGTCGCGCCACTGGCTTGAGTTGGGCGTTCGCGTGTCTACTTTTGCTTTTCACAAAGATTATTTTTAAATTGACTATTGGCATTTCTATGCTGAAAGTAATATTAGAAGTGGAAAACTTTATATAAAGTATGCTGGAAATGTCGTTAAAATTTTTCAAAAGAATAGCTTATTTCATCCGTAAATGATCCTAAGACCTTTATTTTATTTTAAAGGTACAAAAAATACAGGTTGATTAATATTTAACCCTTTGAAACCAAAGAAATTAATTTTTAACTTTTTTGTTAACCGTAACTGAAAAAAATTAACCGATAGCCGTAAAAGAGCCAAAATTTTAGCCGATAACCGTAAAAGCCACCACCCCATTGAGACCCTCTATCAAGGAGGCGCTTTTTTTTTGTAGTTTTTCTTCTTCGTTTTCATCCATTATCCTTCTCTCAATAAACTCTGGAAAACGTTTATAAAAGTTGTGAAAAGGTTTCGTTTTGCTTTTGTACGGAGGGTGGGGAATATACCGCCAAGAAAGAGGAAAACTGCAGATTCCCGCGGTTATGCCCCGGGAGGGCATGGCTACAAGTCAAATTGAACCATGCATAAGCCTTTCATTTCTCCAGGGGCACCTAACGACTTTTTAGCAATTATTGAACAAGTCTGAGTAGGATATGAAGAATTGTGCAAAATTATTTAAAGTTTAAAAACAAGCCAAAGCATGCTTACCTAGGTCGATGTTAAATTCATATCGATAGTGCACTTTTGTCGGGAAGTTTAGGAGGTAAAGGACTGATCAGGTCTGCAAATATACTCCAAATAACTTATATCGTCAGTGGAGTTGTCTTCTTGCTGTTCTTGCCATGTTCGCGCTCCCCTAAAAACGCCTGCGTGGGAGGCTAAAAAACACACTGATTACGACGTATACTTCCTAGTGAAAGTAAATATCAACATAATATCAGTAACTAACGTTTCATTTGTAGACCTTTGAAAAAAAAAATATCTTTTTGGTAGTCCGCAAAATCTCATTGGTTCCTAGCATCAACTCATAGTACCTGCATTCAGACTCTCAAAATAGATTTAAAAAGTTAATTTAAAACTAAACAGGATAAAATAGGCAGGCTGGCACTGCATAAAGGAATCTGGGGCCCGATTCTTGAACTATCCGGAAATGTTTCAGTCCCGAAGGCAAATATTAAAATCAAAACCTGTTGAATAGTAACAATACAGTTCCTAGAACACAAACTCCTCCAGGGGGTACTTGGATTAATTTTTGCTGGGTATGTGCCGCTGGCCTGGACAAGACAAGACAAGACAAGACAAGAGACAAGAGACAAGAGACAAGACAAAAGACAAGACAAAAGACAAAAGACAAGACAAGACAAGACAAGACAGTATATCGACTTTATTCAAATAATATAATAACTCAGCTGATGTCACACTGAAGTAACTTAATTGCTCCGTACTGCAAAAGTGTTTTCAGATAATCAAAACTTCAGAATGCGAAATGCGTAAATTATTTATTCCTTCTACTCTTCTGTTTGTTTCTTTTGTTTTGTTTTGCTTTGTTTCTGCTGTTTAGTAGCATGACAACGTTATTGCTGTTACGTGTTGCTTCACGCTAATAGTTTAGAAATTTCTTAGTACTCAATTCCTGAAATACTTTTTAATTAAGCATTTTTTACTTGGGTTAATTGATTTACTCAGTGTGAAATGGCAAGTGAAGGGGTGGGAACTGGTACCCTTAAAATCCCACCCACCCCGACCTCGCTCACCACTTCCCCCCCCCTTCCTTCCCGCCCTTCCAGCACCAACCTGAAACTGAACCATTGTCTATTTTGATTTTGACAGGGAATACGCCAAAGCAAAGAAGTGCATGAAGAACCTGGTAGCGTCTGCTTGTTCCTTCTCATCTAGTCAACAGGAATTGCTAAACTTGGGTTTTAGTGACTACAATCCTTTCTGTGAAAACAATCGGGATCCTGGGGCGACGGGAAATGATCAATGTTTTGGAGTAAAGGAACTCAACAACCCCTTTCATTCCTCTAGTCCGACCAAAACTGATAATTTGCAGGCTGTACTGGTTCTTGTTTTAGTGCTGTTGTTTATTATCTAATGCACTGTAGTAGTCCACAGGAACCTCTAGTAACCACGACGACCACAGCAAATAAAACTTTAAATCGTAATCGTTTCTATTGAAAACTTTTAACTTTTAAGGAAGTAGATAGAAGTAGATAGATAGGGCTGGATATTGTCCAGCCCCCTTAACAGAAGCAGCTGGTCATTAAACGCATATATAACTGACTTTCTGGGTTCGTTTAGTAATCACGACAATAAACTGAAGCCGTGAGCGCATGGTTTGCCTTTACCATTCACAATGATTTTCTTTGACTTTTTATAAATAGGGATGCTCCCAACATTACGAAATACAGTAACGTCTACATGGTAGGCTAAGAGTTTACCATCTAACCTCATTTAAAATACAGTCGCTTAATGTTTGACCACGGTTGTCGTTTTAATATTCATCATGATGGGATATGATCGTGTCTACACATTTTCTCTCAGCCACAGGTATACCTACAGCAATTATCATCAATTGCGTTCATAATACGACATTAATTTCTTGATATGATAGTCTCCCCTTTCAAAACAAACATACATTCTTCTCTTGGGCTTGATTCGGAAATAAAATACAAACAAGCACCTTTTTATCAACAAAATAATTCCTCTTGTAACGAAGCCTACGAAAACGGGAATAATGAAAAAAGATATAATTAAGGATAGCCCATAAAAGCCTCTTTAATGTTTTTGATAGTTTAAATTCATTATAAATGTATTTTATATTCTTTATTATTTTTTTTAACACCACACAATTGTTAAACAACCTGCAAGAAAAACATCAGTACATAGAAATTATTTCACTTAACTGCTTGCTTACTCGATTTGTCGTTTGCATATCAATAATAAGTGAATTGGATACAGTTTCAATTTTTCTTTGAAGAACGTTAAGTGTGATTAGATATTTATATAAATACGTGCCCATGCCCAAAACGTGTGCCAAAAGCAACTTAAAGTCCTGTGCCCGTTTTTTTATCAAGCCAGAAGCATATAACCCCGAAGCGTACAACTTTGTCGCAATGCCCGGGTTTTTTAGGGAACCAATCAAAATTTACTTCCTAATATGGAATTACTGATAAGTGAGATCGTCGCGCGAGTGCTCTGTAAGTGTGCAAACTTGTAATGATGCGGTGCAAAAAGCATTTACTGTTTTACTAGGTAATATTTGACAAAAAACGGAATGCAGTATTAATCTCCAAACGACCAAGACTGAGTTAGTTCTTTCTAACGAGACAAAGTCGACTGCCAATGACATGCACCGTATTAAAAGAGAAGCGATTCTTCAAAAACGGTTTTTGCCTTACCATTAGGGCAAATAACCTTTGAAAAATCACTTACAATCTATCTACAGTAAAAAATAACATATATTTTCAAAAAAAAATTCACTAGTTGCTGAACTGGAAAGTATAAATTGTATAAAATTCCCTGACATCTTCGCAGAAGTGATGCGTGTAATAAGACACTGAATAAGAAGGATGAAACGCAAGTTCAATAATATTAAAGACTTAGATGCGGCAATCATATTTTCAACTAATGTTATGAATGAACAAACAGAAAACAATAAACAGACAAATTGTTTCTTGAAAATTTTTATTCGAAAACCCATAAGTTGACCGTTAGAAGAAATTCACGTAACACTGACTGGATCGTCAGTAAAATCGGCTGAGCACATGGCAAAAATTAACACTAAAATTAAGCTTATCTTATTAGTCGCACTGGGACAAGACAAACAAAAATTATGTATCCCTTTGGTTGGTCTTGCCCCAGTGCGACTTTTGCGTCCCAGCATGGCGGTTTCGTACCACGTGAATGGCAAGCTGTAAAGGGCCTATAGCTGAATTTTATGTAAAACAACAACTCTGCGCGTGCAGCACATTCTTTTGCACATTTCTTTGTCATTGCTGTACGACTACGACGTGAAATTACCAAGTTCCACATTTTGGGTAAACGTGAACAAACGACGACGAAATTTTCTCTCTTTCTCCTGCTTTGAACTTGGATATGGTTCTTAGGAATTCAACTCCAGAAGAGTTCGCTTGCATTAGACAAAGGAGGTGAGTTGGAATAATCGCGATAGAGATTGAAAAACTGCGAGTTTCACTTTGCAAGAGATGTTTTCGCCGCCGTCGCCGTCGTGGTATCTTAAACTCCATTCTTCATGATATGAGGGATTCGAGAAGAGTAGTCGATTGGTCCTTTAGTTTTATGGCGAATTTGAGCGATGCTTTGTGATACGAGAGCGAATTGAGAGTCGAGGCTGTAACCTGCCTCGCCTCACTAAATGTAGAAAAACAACACCGAACTAACAACGTGCCGCAAAACCCCGCAAGTGGTCAAGAAATGATCCCAGGTTACACAGAAAATGCAACAATTAACACAAGTTCAGGTAAATGTGAGTTTATTTCTACATTTATGCACTGATTTCTCATATAGAGATTCCATATATTGTTCGTAATATGCAAAACAGTATCAACATATGCTATAATTTAGCCTGTTCCAGGCGTTCAGATAGTAGAGCGCGGGAAAAAAATTCACGATGAAAAAAAACGAGGGGAGACTAGAGGGGGAAAGGGGGATGGAACACCTGTAAACATTCCCTTACAGAGTTCTTTCCGCCCTTAACTAACCGCCGACCGTGTAATTGTAACAAGAACTACAGCTAGACCGAATTTTGAAATAAAGTGTTGAAAGACTAGACGCGAATCATATAGCTCGTGATAGGGTGAAATGTGACCTTTGAATTAGCTTTCAATAAACAACAGCAGAGGTTTTCCTTCTTTTAACTGAGCAAATCTAATTTCTTTCGCTCTGAGTCTAACATTAATATTAAGAGTGTCAGTAATGCATACTAAGCATTTATTTCGTGCGGTTTGTTTCTGTAAGGATTTGATTCCAGATGCAGCCAGTAGTAAGTAGTGATTTTCTTTAACCTCTGTTACAGCATTAATCTTTTTATTGTGGCTAAATACCCTTTCAAACAAGAATTTTTTGCCTTTCTGGGCTTCCATAAATGATCTCTCACCTTCCTTCCACATTGTCGTGTCTTCGTCCAGCATGCTTTCACCGCGCTCTCTCCCCACTGACCGCCGCGCTCTACTATCTAAACGCCTCTCGCCACCCCCCCCCCTCAACACTTGTTTTTTCCCCCAGTGTAGAGTAGGTTGCTTTTTTTCGATTACGAAACATGACCTGAAGCGCATTGTTTAATTTGGCAGCATGCAACGGGTATCTTTACAGCATCTTTGCCATGAACATCGCCAATATAGAGTGCTGAAAGCAGTTTCTAAGACAATTTAAATCTTTGCAATGAAAAGAATTATAAGCTGAATAAAACCTTAGTCACGCTTTGAGAGATTTTCGTCCCCAGAGCCCCTCAGCATTTTTAACGAGCGGGAAATCTCTTCTTTTTCATAACTACGAGGCCAAATGAAACGAAAAGTGCTGGGAACCAGTATGCTTTAAAAAGAGAAATCGGCCATGTCGGCCCAATATTGTGATTTTCCCAATCAAATTTCAAAGTTAATCGGTTCCGCATGCCAAAATTCAGAAGAGTGATATAACAGTAGTTTTACGCCACACCTTGCATCATTTTATCTTTTGGTTTCACAAGTTGCTGCTTTCAGATCGATCGCAGGGACAAGTCAGGAAAACCCCACAGCAAATTTATCAGAGAAGATAAGAAATGCATCTTAAAAGCCTTCTTTTCGTGATGGGTGAGTCAAATTGTTTTTAACACTTGCTTTTTTACTCTGGGCGCTCGGCTCGAGTGCGAGCTTCATGCTCAAACACGCTGAAATGAAAGTGTGAAGGATAACTTTCTATGAAGCAAGGAAGCCGTGCGCATTGCATTCACTTATGAAGTATGGACGCCTTTTGATTTTCCTGACTATTCGAGCTAATGCATTGCAGATTACCTCTTTATAGCACACTGTGTTCGGTAGCTCATTGCTCGCTGGTGAGCATTGCGTGGTCCAATATTCCTACATGCTAGCTTGCCAGCGAAAACTTTTTCCATCTAGCCACTCAGTGCCAGTAAAAAAGCATGCAAATCAGCTTTTTTTCTCATTCTTTTAACGCTATAGTACCAAAGACCGGGAATTGTTTGAAGAAACAAATCAGTGTAGAGTATTCTTTACGTATTGCACGACATGGCCGAAAATTGTTGTAAGTTAATGCATGATAATCACGGTAAATTTCGCAGAACAGCATTAACATTTTGTCAAGATACTTTTACTCTTTTTGGTTGTTACTGATCATCAAAGAAAAAATAAGTATTCGTTAATTTCAGAAGTGTGAATTTCAACTCTTAAATCGATCACACCTAAAACGGATGCGAATGCACTAGTGTAGATCGAAAGATCATAGGAGGACGCTTTTTTAACGAGCGAGAAATTAACATATTCTTTTCCAACCACGCGGCCAAAAAAAAAGATTGTACAGCATGGGAATGAGTGCGGTTTAAAAAGAGAAATCAGCCATGTCGGCCCAATTCTGTGAGTCGCGCAATCATTTCAGTAGTAGTTTTACACCACACCTTGCATCATTTTATCTTTTGGTTGCACAAGTTGCTTTCAAATCGGTCGCAAGGACAGGTCAGGAAGACCCCACAGCAAATTCATCATAGAAGATAAGAAATGTATCTTAAAAGCCTTCTTTTCGTGCTTGGTAAGACAAATTGTATCTACCACTTGCTTTTTTTTGCCATGGGCGCCCGGCTTGAGTGCGAGCTTCGTGCTCAATCACGCTGAAATGAAGGTGTGAATGATAATAGTAAGCCGTGCGCATTGCATTCACTTATGAAGTATGAAACCTTTCGCTTTCCCTGACTATTAGAGCTATTTCATTACAGATTGCCTGTTTATAGCACGCTGTGTGCAGTAGCTCATTGCTCGCTTGTGAGCATCGCGTGGCCCAATATTCTTACATGCTTGCCAGCGTGCAAGTGTAGAGTATTCTTTACGTATTGCACGACATGGCCGAAAATCGTTGTAAGTTAATGCATTATCAAATCAAATCAAATCAAATCACTGGTTTCTTATCCCTTTTGCAGTCGGTAGACTGAATTGTAGGATACCTTAAAAGCTGTGATATATATACTAGGACGCTACATTTATTGACAAGGTTAATATTTAACACTAACAAAATTTGAGAAACGTTCAGTCCTTGTGGCCATGGGCCTGCGTGCTAGAACTCCCTGATCTTAGACACACACTGGTAGATATAGGTACCACTCTGTTGTGTATTAGTGGGTATAA